GTTCCATGCTGGGGATGCATATTCAAGAGTGGGTCTCACCTTCATAGTATATAAGACCCTGAAAGATATTTGTCCAGATTTCTGAAGGATACACGGATGTTAGCCAGTATGTCATATGCAGCTGTTGTTATTCTGCTAATGTGAGCCTCTTCCATCAGATTTGAGGTCGTGTCTTCTCCCAGGTCTTTCTCCTTTTCTGATTGAAGAATGTCTTCCCTTCGTCCTACACTGCTCTACTGGCCTTCGCACTCGTTCCAATACGTTTGCAATGCCTCACTATCTATCTCTATCCTGACTTTCATCAGTTTTGCATCATCTGCAAAGATTGATATGAAGGAGCGAATTTCCTGCCAGGTTGTTGACATATATATATATATATATATATATATATATATATATATATATATATATATATATATATATATATATATATATATATATATATATATATATATATATATATATATATATATATATATATATATGTCGTACCTAATAGCCAGAACGCACTTCTCAGCCTACTATGCAAGGCCCGATTTGCCTAATAAGCCAAGTTTTCATGAATTAATATATTTTCTCTAATTTTTTGCTTATGAAATGATTAAGCTACCCATTTCATTATGTACGAGGTCAATTTTTTTTTATTGGAGTTAAAATTGACGTAGATATATGACCGAACCTAACCAACTCTACCTAACCTATCTCTATAGGTTAGGTTTCGTTAAGTAGCCGAAAAAGTTAGGTTAGGTTAGGTTAGGTAGGTTAGGTAGTCGAAAAACAATTAATTCATGAAAACTTGGCTTATTAGGCAAATTGGGCCTTGCATAGTAGGCTGAGAAGTGCGTTCTGGCTATTAGGTACGACATATATATATATATATATATATATATATATATATATATATATATATATATATATATATATATATATATATATATATATATATATATATATATATAACAGCATGGGTTCTAAAACTGACCCTTGTGGTACTCCACTCTCCATTCTGATGTCTCTGGCCTCACTGTGACCCTTTGTTTCCTCCCTGAGAGAGAGACTCTGACCCACCTAAAGACTTTCCGATACACCAGCCTGCTTCTTGTGGGACCATATCAAATGCTTTCTGACAGTCTATGAATGTGCAGTCTGCCCATCCTTCTCTCTCTTGGTTGATTTCTGTCTTCTACTAGAACTCCTGCAAGTTTATCAAGATTTTATTTTACCAAAAACCGTGTTAGTGCCTTGAGACAAAACTGATTAGTACCAAATGTTCTACCAGCTACCTTCGGATCAGCCCCGAGCAACTTGCAGGGGCTACTTGTTATTGATATGAGGGGTATAGTTTAACAGTTTCTGTCTTTCCTCTTTCTTGTAGATTGACATCTGTGTGTGTGTGTGTACTCACCTAGTTGTACTCACCTAGTTGTGTTTGCGGGGGTTGAGCTCTGGCTCTTTGGTCCCGCCTCTCAACCGTCAATCAACAGGTGTACAGATTCCTGAGCCTGTTGGGCTCTATCATATCTACACTTGAAACTGTGTATGGAGTCAGCCTCCACCACATCACTTCCTAATGCATTACATTTCCATTCTCGTGTGTGTGTGTGTGTGTGTGTGTGTGTGTGTGTGTGTGTGTTGTGTGTGTGTGTTGCTAGACGTGGCCACCGTGACACTTCCTCTCCGACGCTCCTCTCAGCTATTGCCTTAGTCTCTGGTTGCGTCCACGTGCGTCTCTCGAGTCCGTGTGCGTCAATGGCTGCGTCCGCGTGTGCATCACCCCATTTGCATTGATTATCTGTTCTGTCATTCCTTTGTTTAGCAGCCTCCTGCGTCCGTCTCTTTATCTAATGCATCTCTTGTGGTTTGGTGGGCCGCCTTTGTTGTATATATTTTTTGGAACGCAGTATCGATGTCTTCATTTTGTTCTTTGTTTTACTTATGTTCGTTATTTGTGTAACATTTATTTTGTAGATTAAGATAAGTAATTGAATTATTACTATGCACCTTTGTGTGTATATTGTCCGAGGTTGAGGGGATAGGAGGGGGGGGGGAGATGCTTGGGAATCGTTTTTCTCTACTTTGCAGGGTGAGTAATGGGTGGTAGGGTACTATCATAAGTTGGTTGTAGTCGTCCCCTCTGTACCATCTTTAACGTGGGTTGAATCCCCCATTTGCGACCTCCACGACCCCATATATCTGAATTTTGATATTTTTGTGCTGAGTGTTTTTCATTGGAGGGTCCCAGCACTTAAATGGCACACCAATCAAGCATTTACTATTTGTGTCTGCAGAATGGAGGTGTTTGCTCTTGCTCTTGGGCTCCGCCTTTTTAACCGTCTGTCTAATATACTGACTCCAGAACTATGTGTTCTCTACCCTGTCCACTATTTATTTGTCTCACACACACACACACACACACACACACACACACACACACACACACACACACACACACACACACACACACACACACACACACATACACACACACACACACACACATACACACCTCCCCAGGTTGCAGCCCATAACAGGTGACGAACTCCCTGTTACCTATTTACTGCTAGGTAAATAGTGGAAGCAGGTAAAAAAAAAAAATACCATTTCTTTCTGCCTCTGCTACACCTGCCTTAACCGACTCGGCCACGATGGTTCCATTGTCTCAAAATGATTTTCATGGCTATATCGCTCATGCCATTGTGATTTCATTGTTGTTGTTGTTATAGATTCAGCTACTCGGAACAAGTTCCAAGTAGCACGGGCTATGGTGAGCCCGTAGTGGACTTACCTGGCACAGGAGCGGTGGATTTCATTGTGATATATAATTTTAATATAGGCTCTGAGACCCCTGACGCCTGGGGTGAAATGTGCACTGATATTCTTAAAAGAGGTTAAGCAGAGACTGAAGAGCGGTCGGTGTCTTGTTTCAGCGCCTCAGTGTCGCAGTCCAGAGAGGAAATGCTTGCTTTGTCTTGGGCACGTACCCACCTCTGCAGAGCTAGACGAGGTCTTAGAGCAATGGTGGCTTTACATGTGCGTTTTCTGTAAACGAAATTACATATGTGTTTTTCAGCTTGAATGGGCTCTAAGGCAATGTACAGCTGTAAACTATGATCCCCCCAAGGAATCGAACCTGATCCGCCAGGGTACCATACATCTGACAGTTCAATACCAGGGGAACTGAACTGCCAGTTTGCACTTATATAAAATAGTGTATTTTGGAAGTCTGTTCTTGTAGACTTGGGTTATTGGATATAAGCAAAAGGATATATTACTAATGGTCTTTTTCACTTCGGAAACAAGTTGAAAAAATTAACTCATCAATGCTCCTTTTTACAATATTGATGGGGCTGGCCTGTGCTACTATAGGACACGTTTGGCTGAAGCACTCTTCATCATCTTCAGAGGAAGAGAGGAAAGTGAATACAAAGTTGCCAAAAGTGGCAGTATACCACGTAGGATAAGGGGGAGATGAGGTGCTACATTGTCGATGAGATTAGGTAGTCTAACCTTGCATTTCCATTGGTCGGCTGGCGATAGTAAGTGCCAGCTGGCTATTGATAATTGGATGTGTTTGATATGTAGTTCTTCGGCTATATAATCTCTTATGGAGCTGTATCTTATCATTTCTGTGATGCTTGTCACGATCTCTCTGCTGGTGATTTGGTGTTAGTAAATGATGTGATCTTTGAGATAAAGAAGATTTAGTATTAGAAAGATTTCTCTGAACGCTTTCTGTCATATATTGTTTTTCTTTTGATACCGTTCAAATGTTTGCTTAAAACGTCAATGTTAGTTATTTTAATTTCCCTAATGCCCCGACATTTGTATACTGTTATAGATGACTTCATAATTTCGGAAGTATGAAGCGATGTATCTATATAAATATTTCAGTTGAATTGTATTTAATAATGCCACAAATGTTCTTAATTACATTATCAATAATAATACGTTATTATTGCTAATTACAGATAATTACATTATCTGTGTTTACAAGCTGCCAGCGTCCTGTTCCAGCGCCACAGTGTCGCCATCCAGAGAGGTAACGCCGGACGTGTCCTTGAAACGCTCCCCAGAGCTGGAAGAGCCTTAATTGTGGATGAATATGTCTTAATACTTTATTACAAACGTAAGGAGTTTCGACCTATTGTTCCAGGGGTCATTTTTTACAGGTGATCAATCATAATTAAACTCGAATTTTCATTTGCTTATTAGAGCCTTGTGTAAGTATTATTACAAGGATTATTAGTGTAATTAACTTTATATTTTATTGACTAAAACATTGCGACATGACCTGGAGTTTAAATTACCACGCTCGCGTTAGTGTTGCTTCGTTGTTTGGATTGAAGTTTTGAAGTAAATGAATGCAGTGAAATGAATGCAATGAAATAAGTGCGTATTCGGCGGCATCATTCACTTAGGACGCGCAAGTATCATAATTCTGTATACATCAGAGATGAAGAGCAAAGTTGATATCGGCTGCAGATAATTTACTGTGCAATTAGAAGCTATCGATGCGGAGACTGCTGTAATTACATTTTCTTATCTTTGAGAAAGAGAGGGGAAAGGAGGAGAGGGGGGGGGGGAAGGTGTATGTCATGTGGAGGGGGGGGGGGGGGGGGGAGAAAGCAGGAGTAAGTCAAGGGAAATATGATTACACCCCCCATTAACCCCCACAATCTACCCCCCCCCCCACAATCCCCCCCCCCCCCCCACAATCTACCCCCCCCCACAATCTACCCCCTTATACCACTATCAACTACCCGTTCCCTTTGTGTTCAATACATACAACAACCACACTGTAATGAGGCTTGATTTAATTACTCGGCTTGGGCTATACATGTGTTTCTTAGCACTATCTTCCATTGCTGTTAGTCTTTTTTTTCTTTTTTTGAGGGAGCAAAAACGTCTCATTTGTTGATGGGTTATAATTACCTCCCGCGTCTGGGCCCCTGGTGTTGTTCCTGGGGGTAGCTGGGTGGCTGTGTTCCCCCGTAGTGTAGATGGTGGTTACCCTGTGGCCTTGTTCCCGGCCTCCAGGCCTTGCTACCCGGCCTCCACGCCTTGCTCCCGGCCTCCAGGCCTTGCTCCTGACATCCACGACTTGCTACTCGGCCTCCAGGCCTTGCTACCCGGCCTCCACGCCTTGCTCCCGGCCTCCAGGCCTGGTTCCCGGCCTCCACGCCTTGCTCCTGACATCCACGCCTTGCTACTCGGCCTCCAGGCCTTGCTACCCGGCCTCCAGGCCTTGCTACCCGGCCTCCAGGCCTTGCTACCCGGCCTCCACGCCTTGCTACCCGGCCTCCACGCCTTGCTCCCGGCCTCCACGCTTTGCTACCGGCATCCACGTCTTGCCCCCGGCCTCCACGCTTTGCTCTCGGCCTCCACGCCTTGCTACCCGGCCTCCACGCCTTGCTACCCGGCCTCCACGCCTTGCTACCCGGCCTCCACGTCTTGCCCCCGGCCTCCACGCTTTGCTCTCGGCCTCCACGCCTGGCTACCCGGCCTCCACGCCTTCCTACCCGGCCTCCACGCCTGGCTACCCGGCCTCCACGCCTTGCCCCCGGCCTCCACGCCTTGCCCTCGGATTCAACTGTGTCCTCTACTGAATCAAAATTTTTAAGTGTATTATTTCTATTACTTTTTATTATTATTCCTGTTATTCGCGTTTATATATTTGTATTTTTGATATTCCATTGTATTTTTCTTGCATTCCTCATTGTATTTTTCACACATAGCAATGAAATAATGTCATTATATTGCGTTCTCACGTGAGCTGTGATTATTTTGCCTTTTTCCTCGCGTCGTTTTAATATATTTCTTGGCATATTTTGAGGTTGTCTTCGTTTTGGTATTCTGAACGAATGGTAATGTTCATATTTGGTTTGGTGCGTGTGCTTGTGTTCGAGTGATGGGTTCGTTGTGTTCGGATCATGTGTTGTTTTTGTTTAAAGAAGCCGGTTAGTTGTTCTGACGTTTGATTGTTTATTGTGTTCACTTGTGACAAGGAACACAATTGGTTAATAAGGCCACAACCAGTTACTAAGACCACAACCGGTTATTAAGGTCTCAAGTGAGTGACCAACATGCAAGTATAATTTAGCATTAAAACTTTTGATCAAAATAAAGCTTCTCTCGTATTATATACGTGTGTGTGTGTGTGTGTGTGTGTGTGTGTTCTAGTTCCTGCACCATGGCTTGTGTTGTTTGGTCCTAGCTTTTGCACCTGATTACCGTTCTCGTTCGTAGTAGAGCCTGGATATAATCTTGTGTTCGGCTGTTTCATTGTTCCTGTGTTCGAATGCTTTTTTGTTGTTGCTGTGTTCGCTTTTTTTTTGCTAGTTAGCGCATCTTTGTGAGTAGCTAGCGCTTGGCAGTTAGGCAGTTACCGCTCGTATCCCCAACCACTTGGGTTGGACGGTGGAGCGACGGTCTAGCCTCTTGCAGGTCGGCGTTCAATCCCCGACCGTCCAAGTTGTTGGGCACCATTCCTTTTCCCCCGTCCTATACTAAATCTATATCCTTCCAAGTAATGGCTTTGTGCTTTCTCCTGATAATTACTTTACCTTACCCATGTTTATGAGTAATTAGCGCCTTGTTTGAGGGCAGTTAGCGCCTTGTTTATGAATAATTAGTGCTTTGTTTATGAATAATTAGCGCCTTGTTTGCGGGCAGTTAGCCCCTTGTTTGAGGGCAGTTAGCACCTTGTTTATGGGCAGTTAGCACCTTGTTTATGGGCAGTTAGCGCCTTGTTTTGGGTAATTAGCCCCTTGTTTGTGGATTTTTAGCGCCTTGTTCGTGAGTAATTAGCCCCTTGTATGTAGGCAGTTAGCGCATTGTGTGTGGGTAGTTCGGGGCCTTGTTTGTGGCTAGTTAGCCTCTTGTTTTTTTGCATTTAGCGTCTTCTTTGTGAGTAATTAGCCCCTTGTTTGTGAGTAATTAGCCCCTTGTTTGTGGCAGTTAGCGCCTTGTTTGTGGGTAATCAGCGCTATTTTTTCAAATGTCTTTATTGCGTTTAAATCCTTCGTGTCATTGACGTTCGGTTTGGGTGTGGTCCTTTCTTACCCTTTGACAAGTGTCAAAGGGTAAGATTAAGCTTTCGCTTAACCAGAAACACAAGAAGCTGTGCAACCCCTCCATCTGAACTACTGCGACCGGTGTTCATTGTGTAATAGAAGCGTCACTATTGCGGTGTTTTGAAATTTAGTAAACCATTGCACTTTAGACGATGGGGTCGATTGCGTAAAAAGGAAAAGTATAAGGTGGTGCAAAGGTGCATTGAGGAAGGAATAACGAAGAATCATTTAAAAAAAAACCATGAAGATGAAAATAAGGTTTCAGTCTGCGATAGCAAGAGGTTTCAAACGACAATAAAAAAGGAGGCTTCAAACAGCAATGAAAAGATGAGGTTTCAAACAGCAATGAAAAGAGGAAGTTTCAAACAGCAACGGAAAAGGCAGGTTTCAAACGACAATAAAAAAGAGATTTAAAACAGCAATATAAAATTCAAACAGCGAATATTAAAACATGTTAATAAATAACAAAATGAAAAAAAGACAGAGCTCCCGAGGATAATGCCGTCTCAGGAACAGTCACAAGGTGCCAGACCTCTTGGTCACGTCTCTTGACATCTGAAGGTGAAGGGCAGACGACACGTGGTGTGGTTTCTCTGAAGAAAATGCGTCCGTGATATCTCCATATCGAAACCTGCTTGAAGATACCTTATTTTTAAACGCCAGGCGGAGAAAGTGTCCAAGACCAGGTTTTACCCAGCATTTATATGCCCACTGGCGAAACCTGTGCATCATGATTAATGAAAAGATGTAAAGATTACGATACGTGGACGCATATGAGTTCTTGATGAATCCTGAACCAAGACAAAGAAAACGGTGTGGGGGGAGAGGGGAGGGGGAACACACTGCACCAGAGTTAGGGGGGAGACTGATGGAGTAGGACCAGCCACAACTCTATGGAAAAAGAAAACGGAAACCTGCAGAAAATGAGTGATTGTAAATGGCGAAGGGCTGCCAATAGGACCCCGGCTGAAAAATGGGGACCACTTAGGCTCCAAGGCACGAGCCTTGGGACGCTGCAGGAGTCCTGAGGCTTTATGAGCGACCTCGGAGACTAATATTCCATTTCCTACAACTCTGGGTCCCTTTGCCACATTGTTCCGTCGTTGAATTCAATAAGTAGCGGCAATAAAAGGTGGTGTGAGGGAGAAATACGATTGGAAGGCGATTTAGGCGCAGCATGTCTCGGCGGGGCGCCCAGGGGGAAGGAAAAACGCATCGCCTGTTAAAGAAAATGGAACGCGAGGTGGCCTAATGGCCAGGGGGGATTGATGGAAACTCGCTCACAGGGTAATGATCCCTACCCAGCATTGTATTGGATACATATATGTGAATCTTGTGTAGAATTTTTATCAATGTTTAAATATATGAATAATTTAACATTATTTGTTGATATTTTGATTTGTTTATAATCAAATTAGAAACTGTATACCTCTGGGGACATGTGTGGCCGATTTCTTCTGAGGAGAGTTTCATTTGACCTTCCTTGGACAGGTGACCGGTCATTCCATAAGTTTGTTAGTGCCCTGAGGTACGGCCGGAAACTGGTTGGGTAGTTATGAGTCATCAAGTGTTTACCAAACCTGTACACCTTTCCTTAATTATAACGGCTTAAGTTAATTAAAGTCTGTGAGTTGCGAAGCTCTGCGACGTTTAATTATAAAAATAATAATCTTGGGTTGTGAAATTTAGAAAGCTCGTGCATGGCCTGTTGAATACATGTAAAAACCATCGCCATGATTTAGGAAATGATGTAGAGGTTTCGTGAGTGATTGTGTAAATCATTGAGGAATCCTGGCCTAGATCCTTGTAGTTGTTTGATTTGGCGAGTTCATCTGTTGGACCAACAGGACTGGCGGAATATACGGGACATTAGAAAAAGAGTTTCTCTCTGTTGGGTGGTGGGTTGGGGATGAGGGGGAGGATATATTTACTAATTGTGCCTGAAGAATCGAGCTCTTAGCTCTTAGCCCCCGCCTTTCTAACCGTCGGTTGTCTGATGTACTGACTCCCGACCTGTTTTGTCTCTTATCATATCTACTATACAGTAGATATGACTCACACACACCTCCAGGAAGCAGCCCACAGCAGCTGTCTAACTCCATGGTTCCTATTTACCTATTTACTGATAGGTAAACAGAGGCACCAGTTGAAAGAAACTCTGCGCATTTATTTCTGGATAGGTGACTTCCACAACTTCCTCTTTTAGAGCATTGCACTTATTAACTCCCCGTACAGGCTACGAGTACTTTCTTACGTCCCTTCGGCTCATTTGTGCTTCCAGCTTCCACCTTGATTGATTGTTGCCGCCGGAGGCGGCTAGTTTATTGTGCACCCCATACTCATCCTGTGAGCGGTAGCGCAAAAAGCATTACAGAAGGCACAAAAGGTCTTTGTCAGACCTCATCTTAGATTATTACATAAACAATTTCATCTATCCTTCACACCTTATAGTTACAATGTCAGCTAGTTACAGAGTAAGTGCTATTTCAAGAGCATATATTTACAGTAAGTCATTATACTTTAATGGTAGGTCTTATCGCTAATACATAATAGTTTGACCAATGAAGTCTGTGTCCTCTTGTCCTGCTTTCTCTCAGTCTGAAGAGACTATCCTTGTCCACCTTATCTATTCCCATCAGTATCTTGTAAGTTGTGATCATATCCCCTCTGTTCCTTCTATCCTCTCGGGTTGTGAGATATAGTTCCATTAGCCTATGCTGGTAGCTTAGACCTCTTAACTCTGGCCTCAGTCTTCTTACAAGCCTTTGTACGTTTTCAAATTTGACTTTATGCTTCACAAGATGCATAGATTCTAGTATTGGTCGAGCAAATATTGTGTAGATTGCTTTGAAAGAGTCCTGATTCCTAAACGATGTTTTATATTTTTTCAGCGTCTCATATGCTGCCGATATTATCTGGTTTATGTGTGCCTCCGGTGTGAGAGTCGCAATTATATCCACTCACAGTCTTGTCTCTTTATGGTTCCTGTAGCTGCCTTCCCCGTGTGGTGTAGATGTCTTCTGGTCTCCTCTCTCTCCTCCCGCCCCCCCCTTTTGCCATCTGCATTACCTTACACTTGTTGGGATTGAAATCCAGCAACCATTTGTCTGACCACTCCTGAAGTTTGTCAAAGTCCTGTAACTTTCTGCCGTACCTTCTTCTGTTGTCACGTTCTTCATCAGCTTTCCATCATCTGCAAACATTGGCATTGACTGTGTGTGTGGGGGGGAGGCATAGAAACATTTTCTATTCGATACTTGTGCTTTGCCATTCAGAACAAAAAGTCGAAAACTCGCGCCATTTGTGCCAAAGAAGAGTACACCATTGCAGGTGGTGGAAGACGGTCACCTCTGCTCACAGTACACCGTGATATTGACGCTGACCATAGATAGTGTCAACATTCCCACGCCTCGGGAATTTGTAATACTTATTAGTATTAAAAACGCTAATAAGGGTCCCAATAGAGGCCTTATTAAGCATCTTTAATACACCCTGTCTATAACTTGGGTGTGTCAGTTATAAACAGGGTGTAT